ATATATATGAAGTGTTTTTTGAGAAAAAATTGCCTATATGACTGGCAAAATTACACGAAAACTACTCGTATTTTCGAAATGTCGAACATAACCTTATTTCAAGATGTCTTTAAAAAACGTATTTTTTAGAGAAAAATCTATCTTTAATATAAGAGTTTCAGAAGATGCCAAAAAAATTGTGGGTTTTTGTAACTTTCGAAAGATCGACACAAATTTAATAAAAAAAGAGTGCCATTTTTTTAAACATTTTCAAAATGTCAGGAGTTTCATGTAAAGTACCCCACAAAATTAAAATATCTGCTTCAAAGTCCATGTGCCTTGACATCAGCCGGAATGAATGGGGAATATCACTTTTGGAGAAAATCGGCAGTACGGTTTATAAGCTAGCGTTATGCACAGACGGATAAACAGACGGACGGACAGACGTTCTGCCGTCAATCGATTTTTCTGTATAAAATACGCACACATCAAGGATTCTGGCCATTCGTTACCAGGTCCCGGCAATAAGAGCTTTTGTGTCGAAAATTAGCCATTCGCATCGCGCACGATTACAATATTTTCTCTACTTAAATTAGTAGGTGCGAGAGTATGAAATATTCGTTGTAACGTGCTCTCTATTGGGCAACCATTCCCAGCTGATCGGTGTCAATTTGTCTTACGTTTTAATTGGAGTACCTGAAGCTTTCTGTCCGCACTCCCTGCATGAGCCTGACGCAGATCAACGTGGCTGTTTGCGCTTGTCGGAGGGAAAAAGAGAGGAGGTCCTTCCCCAATAGTTCGATTCAGTAGAGTGACTTCTGCTTTTTGACCAGTTGGCCGCGGTTATCCAATCGTGAGCTTCGTTACCAGTTGATCCAATCCTCCAATCGGGAGCCTTAATTTTTGATATTGAAGTTCCCGATAGGATAACCGCGCCCCAAGTGAACGTTCGCCAAGAGTTGTCAAGTTGTAAACGCACACATATTAAATTGTGTATGAAAAAGAACGAAGAATTAGATTTTTTCATATTTAATAAATATCATGTACAATGAAAATTCACAAAAACACAAAAGATACAAAAGGTAAATGAAGTGATCTCTCGCCTGTTTTTATGAAACCGTCATTCACAGAATTGTTATATTTGTGTAAAATAATAAAATTTGCAACTTCTATTTAAATAATTAATAATATAAAAGCACAAAATATAAAACATTTCACAGATTTATATATTTAAAAAAAGTATTTCATTCGGACTACAAAAAAACTCGAAACATTCAAAACAAACACAAAATCACAACCTAGGGTATTAACAAAGGAACATTCAATCATTGTAACATACCTCGACGAAATGACAATAATCTAAGTAAAACCAATTTCACTACGAGCTTTACATCTTTATATAATGTAAAATTCGTTATATACAACCCTATGAAAGGATCACTTATTTTCACTAATTCAGAGTGCGACGGGATCCATACGCTCAGAAGGAATTCTTCATAAAAAGTGAGCATGCGGTTATCATCGTCGAAAACTTACTTTATTTGAAGTATAATGACTGATATTCACTGTCACATATTATATACACTTAATCGGTAATATCAATCATGCAGGTTGCTGTTACGAGATATACACGCTTATAAAAATTATTTATAAAATATGAATCTGCAGTGACAGGCAGCCTATTTTCCTTTAATTGGAGGAATATTTAGGTGAAATTGCAGTTGTTGTATTTGAACTGAATTTGACTGAATTTGTATTTCTTACATTTTGTGACGTATATCTTTTATGAAAGTTATATTTTATACCTCATTACCCTGTGTACAAAATTTGCGTAATTTATATTAAGTTAATGTAATATATGTATTGATGTTTTAATGTAACAGACGGGAAAACGGACAGATGGCAGACGTTTTGAATTAAGATACTTTTCCGGAATCAGAGACCTCAAACAATTGTATTTCTGTCAATTTCTTGATGTCGACTTTTTACATCATTACAATTTGAAACATATATTATGAATGAATTACATATTATGCTTCCTATTATTAGAAATGGTATTACAAACTTGTTTATAACTAATTTTTTGAAACAATTTTGCAATATTTTTCGATGAAAAAATGTGTTTTAATTAATTAGTTGGGGTTTAGTATAGATTTACATACAAACATCTTGACAAACAATGCTTATTTACATTGTATATGCAAATGTAAATGACGGATATATTTGTGTGTTTGTGCAAAACAGAGAATACAAGAGTTACTTTAAGAAGGTACCGCTTTGACAGGTCGGGAAACAAAAGAACTTCCTGCAGGGAGATGGCTTTGCAAGCGATAGTGATGCATCCATTTACAAATGAGCTATCTGTATCGAACGCACTGCCAAATTGAGTGCATGTCCATAAGTAACCTGCAGTTCCGTGGCCAGCAGTGGCCACGCAGAAGCTGTGCAAGCGGTCCCTCCTTGAAGTCCCTTTTGGTGACTGCGCTGAGGGCGCGCGCCGTGTTGCAGCGTAGGGAGCGTCGGCAGGGGCGGCAGGAGGGCGCGATGGCAGCGGCGGCCGAGGAGGGCGCCGTGGACCTGGAGGAGCTGCGCAGCGTGCATGTGCACCTACCCGCGCGCGCGCCGGAGGACGCGGGGGCCTGCGCGCTGGGGGCGCTGGGGGCGGCGGCCGGCTACCCCATCGGCGTCCACTACTCGCGGGCGCCCGCCCCCGCGCATCCCTACGCCCATCCCTACGCCCACGCCGGCGCTGCGGCTGCAGGGAGCCTCAACAACGGCGCCATGTTCAGGTACACACCTCTCTCACTCTCTCTCGCTCTCTCTCTCTCGCTCTCTCTCTCTCCCTCGCTCTCTCTCTCGCTCTCTCTCTCTCGCTCTCTCTCTCTCGCTCTCTC